ACTCATTTTAGCTGAGCAATAGCATGGAACTGTGGAGATTTTTTTTAAAGGAAAAGCTCTATTAAAAGATCCAATCTCAGCACTTAATTCTATGTATTTCATAATTTACTGGTGGTTTAGCTTTGCTTACTCCATTACACCGCTGTATTTACCATGGGAGTAGCTACAAGTACAAAGTGTGTCGTCTTTCTTTTCTGTTAAAATTTGCCTTTGTAACTCGCATCTAAGTAAAAAGTCATTTGTCCCCAGGGGCGCTGTGTGAACTGACTGCAGGCAGCAGCCACGAACACGCGGTGGGGCCACAGGCACGGCGACTGCGAGCCCCCACCCTGGGGACCTCCCTGCGGCCATTTAGCTAGCACCCTCCCAGAACGCTCTAGCCCCATCCTAGCAGGACGAGCACAAGTCAGCCCTCGACAGCGTCTAATTCTCAGTTAACAGAAACGTCTTTTGATTCAGGTAGGGTAAATGGCGAGGCCCTCGTAGATGCTCCTGCAACCTGCTTGGCCTCCCGCAAGCCTTGCCCTGCACTGGGGTTCTCCTTGCTGTTTGCTGTGGCTCTACACTGTTCTCGTGGCCCCCAGCTACCCCAAGCCCTACCCCAGAGCCAGCAAACACTGCCCCAAAACTCTGACCGGCCACCAGACCCTGCCTGAGTGCCCCCGAAGACCTCTAAGCCTGCCCCCAGGGCCCTGGAACACCCCAAACCCTGCCTTAGGGTCTCCAGTGCCCACTTCCAAATGTCCTGAGGTCCTTCCCCATGGCTTGACACCAACACCCAAGCAGCTCCTGCTGCGGGGCTGGCACCTGTGAGAGCTTTCAGCAAGCTGCTTTCAGGACTTGGGGTGGACCTCTGCTTTGCCAGCAGAGCCCGCTGTGCCCGACGTGCTGTGTAACATCCCCGCCTCCGTGGACAAGATTAAAACGTGTCTTTTCAGCAAAGCCATTCACAGAGCATTTCTTTCTGAGTCTTTGTGTATGAGTGTGAGCCACAGAAGCCGAGTTGTTCATCGTAACTTGTACAGCCATCTCCTGTCGCGGCTCTGCCAGGGATTGTGCCGACACAGGAAAACATTTTCTGCTCCCAGGAGCCATCTCTAGTTCTTGCATATAAATCGTAGGACTGTAGTCATTTCTAGAATGAGACTAATGCCAGTGCATGCGAGGAGTAAAGCTCTCCTGTAACAATAGGGCTTCTCTCTTCCATATGGGAAGAAATGTGATTCTGAACCAGAGCACCTTGAGAAAGGGGACAGATACCGTAATAAGGAACTGTTGCCCTAAGGATTCTTCTTATGACTGGATGGAAATTTTAGTTGACAGCTTTTATCACCTGCTACTACAGGGCTAGCCAGCCAGGTTCTTTCGGGGACCTTGGCAGAATGATGACGGCACTAAGTTGTAGTTACCATTAAAGCTTTATATTTCTGGACGGAATTTTATGATCAGAGTAGCACAGGATTTCTGCAAGCAGAATCAGTGCACCATGATTTTATATTTCATAGCACCACTTAGCTTATGGTTTCTAATCACCTGGATCCTCTGTGGATTGGGCCAAATCTTAACGCCTAGCTTGCCGTATCAATATGGCAATCATCGCCTGGACTCAAAAACAGATAAAAGGAGTCCCTTGCTGCGTCCTCAGAGGAAGCGGACGCCGCTGGAGGCGTCGCTGGCCGCCGGAGCATCACGGGTTTTGCCGTCCAGCAGCAGTTCTGGTCCGAGTCCCGCTCAGGACCTGTAACTGCCTGGTTTTACAGACGGTGCTGTGCATGCTGCTGCGCTGCCCTGCCCTGCCAGGTGAGGAGGGGAGTTGGCCTGATGGCCAGGGACCTCGAGCCGGCCGGGAGGGGAAGCAGACATACCTGCCTGGTGCGCAGGACCTTCAGGGCGAGGAGGGGAAAGGGGACCGATACGTGACCAGTGACCAGCTCAGCCACAGAGGACGGCCGTTTGCCTTATGAAATGGGGCCAGGAGCTGGAGGTACCGGTCACGTTATACTTCATTTTTGGGGGGCGTTATGTTTTCCCAGAGCGCTCTGCCTCAGCCATCTTCCCTCCGTACTAAACCCGAACTATCTATCGTGGGCCCGTACTGCTTGCTTCTGGTTTGCATGCGTGTTGCTATGCCAATAGTGCCGCGGCTCCTGGCCCCCGCGGGGCTCGGCCCGGCCGCTCTGGGGAGACGCTGCCAAAGCGCGGCTGCGAGAAGCGGCGGCCGGAGAG